CGGCCCCCGCCCCGGGGGAAGAAGGGGATATGGTTCTGACTGCCTCCTCTCGCCTAACAGTTCGCTTCCCTGATGCCACAGTCACGGGGATGAGGGACCAGTTCAGGAATGGCAGAGCGGACCCTGGAGGCGGCCCAAAACGCCTCCCTCCGCCGCCACCGCCCCCTCCGCCCCCTCCATGACAGTCTGGGTGTGTTTACAGACGCCCTGGAGAGCTGCCGGGACACTTGGGTGGGCGGGAGAGTGGCACGCGGAATGGCCCCTCCGGCCGCCGTAGCCCCGCGGTGTTCTGGGAATTGTAGTTTCCCTTACCTCAGTCTGTACGCGGCAGACCAGGAAGGAAACTACAATGTCCACAGGGCCTCCGCCAAGCGTCTGTTTTCCTCCGGCTGCGAGCGCTGCGGGGGCGGGGCCAGGCGGGAGGCCCTAAGTGCGTTTCCCACAGTCGCTCCCGGAGAGGTTTGGGCCTGGGGATCCCAGCGGCTTGGGCGCCTGGAGGAAGGACCCTGGGGCCCCGTGGAGGCAGCCCTGAGGTGGGGACCCCGAGGATCCCCGGAAGGTTTCTTATTGAAAAGGCGCAGCTGCTTCGGGAAACAGTTTGGCGGTTCCTTCCGATATTAGACAGTTACCATATGGCCGGCAATTCCCCGAGGAATGGGAACACACGTCCACATGAAACCTTGCACACGACTGTTCTGTCCCAGAAACTTTATTCATAATAGTCAGGAAGTGGAAGCAAACCAAGTGTCCTCCAGTGGATGAATGACTAGGCCAATGGTAGTGCGTTGTTAGGAATATTACCCGGCCGTAAGGAGGAATGAAGTACTGATACACGCTACACTGTGGATAAGCCTGGAAAACATGCAAAATGAAAGAAGCCAGACAAAAAAGCCACATATTGTAGATTCCATTTATAAAGAAATGTCCAGAATAGGTAAGTTTAAAGACACAGAAAGTTGAGTGGTTGGCGGGGGCAAGTGTTGGGGAACAACGGGGAGGGCGGGGAGCCGGGACGGGGGAGTGATCGTTAATGGGCCCTGGGTTTCTTTTTGAGCTGATGAAATGTCCTCAGATTGATCTGGTGATGGCTGCACAGCCCTGTGAATATATTAAAACCCACTTATTTTAAATGAGTACATTTGATGGTATGTGAATTATATCTCAATAAAGCCATTGAAAAAAATGAGTGTCATTGTGCCCTCCTGGTTTAATAAAGTCCGTGAGCTCGTTGTTGTGTTAGCCCATATCAGGCCACTGAGGACTGGACAGAGGTTGTGTGTTCGTTCATGTCATCCCGGAGAGCCCTTTGATCCCTTTCACACGCTTCCAAAATTCAATGGAGGTGACAGAGTTCCCAGATTCAGCAGTGAGTATACAGGACATTCACTTACAGTTGGATTTTCAGATAAATACCTTTTGTAGTATAAGTATGTCCCATGCAATATTTGAGGCACGTTCTTACTAAAAAAAGAAAGTGTTTGTTCTTTGTGTGAAAATGAAAATTAACTGGGTGCCTTCTGTTTTATTTGGCAACTCCAAATTGAGTAAGAGCACTGACAGGCAAGTTGAGTCATCTCTGTGATCTATGCAGTCCTTCACAGGCTCTGTGAAGAAGCTAACCTCTTCCAAGTAAATGCAGCCAAGGCCAGTCCTGAGGTGGGGAGTGGGTCTGGCATGCTAGGGCAGTGACAGTGGGGCCCAGACCTGGCGCTCTGAGAGTTGCGCAGCTACATCCTCTCTGAGGATCAAGGGGGCCAAAGTCAGTGTTAGTGCAGGCTCTCTGCCTCTTCCTCACCTAAAACCCCTTTTGTTCAACACCTCCAAGAGCCCCGTTCCACCTCCTCGCCTCCTCATTCTGTGCCCAGCCTGCCCTCCGTTTGCATCCTCCGTATGCCTTCGCTGCCCGTAAGCCCTATTCTTCAAGGTGGAACTGTCTCTCTCCTGGGTTAGTTCTCTGCCACTCTTCCTTCCTGTGACAAAAATGCACCCACATGGATGGAATTGGAGAGCATTCTGCTCAGTGAAGTAAGGCAGTCAGAGAAAGACAAGTACTCATACGTGGAACCTAATGAACAAAATAAACTAACAAGTAAAATAGAAACAGACTCATAGATAGCGAACAGACTGACTGTTGTTGGGGGGATGGTGGTGAAAAAAGGTGAAGGGATTAAGCCAAAACAAAACAAAACATACACACACACAAAACCCTCAATAGACACAGTATGGTGATTAACAGAAGCAAAGGGGGTTGAGGCGAGGTAGAAGAGGGCACTGGGGGGATAAATGGTGATGGAAGGAGACTGGACTTGGTGTGGTGAACACACAATACAATATACAGATGATGTATTATAGAATTGTACACCTGAAACCTATGTCATTTTAATAACCAATGTCACCCCAAGAAATTCAATAAAAAAGAAAAATGCATCCAGCCCTTTGTAATGGAACTTAACCACCCATGCTTGGCTGGGTGTGAGCAGCTTACAGACCCAATTGCCAGCCCCTCGGGAAGGAGGTCTAAGATTGTTTGAACCACATAGTGGGAATCTAAAAACTTGCAGGGGCAGCATGTATACCAGCATCAGGAGAGTGGTTTTCTCTAGGGAGGGAGGGGGGCTGAGATTCAAAGGGTCCTGGGTGGTTGACTATATATTTAACTTTTAAAGAGATGAAGCAAATATGTTAAATCTGTTGGTTGGGATGTATGTTGTGTATCCTCTTTGTATTTCTGTACATATGAAATATTACACAATTAAAATAGGAATTAAATTTAAAAAAACTATAAACACTTTAGAAAGCGTGGAAATACTTTATTTTAAAAAATTTTTAATTTATAAAAATAAACTTAATCACATCATAAAAGAAGACACTGTAAGTGGAAGAAAATCTTAAGAAAAAGTATTGTGTAGTCATATGTTCAACATTTGCAGAGAAATACCCAGAATTAGTAACAAATTGATGAGGAAGAACAAGAGTGAATATTAACTTCTATAAGTATAAACCCTCAAGAACTGTATAATCCAGGAAGGAGAAATTCACACACACAGGAGACTATGAATAATCACTAAACAAGACTCCTGGTGAAAAATAATACAGATCAAGTTTAATATTCTATGTGTTAAGTGGGTAGGGAGAGCCAAGCATCACACTGATTGCTAGAAAAGGAAAAGTGGACACAGCAAATGTATGTTCTTTAAGGAGTGGGAAGAAGTTGAGAAGAAAAATATGCTCTCCAACTCCCAGGCATACTTTGTATTCATGGTTTTTAATCTTTTTTCCCTATATCGCCTTCTCAAAAAGAACCTCCAAGGCATGCAATCCCTTTTAAAAATGCATATTTTCTCCTCCCCCCATTTTTCCCTCCCCAGCATACACACAGACACATTTCATGCACTCTCAGAAATCCCACACAGAGGCACTGTTGGCCTATGATGCATCAGGCTTTGCCGCTGCTGTGGAGTTTCTTGTAGTGAATTCCTAAGCAGCATGGCACACACCCACGCCCACTAGGCCTGCATGCCTTCCGTGCCCTCATCCCTCTCTCTTCTGTTCTTCTTACCACTAGGCTAAAAGAGCACAGGTGTCTAAACAGAGCCAAGATGATCATGTTACTCCCTAGGCCACATGGGCCGCTTGGCACATGCCTCTGGGGAAACATCAGAGAAAAAGGAAGCTCATTAAAATAGCTTCTTGGGCTCCAGCTGGTTTTCCATTAAATTTGACACATGAGAGTCTATGAATTTAAAAATTATCTAGCCCTTTCCAAACTTTCATTGGAAATGAAAGTTGCTTGACTCAGTTCTGGCATGGAGATTTTTCCCCATCTCCAATTTAGAAATAGAAATAATTAAAAACAAAGCCTGCCAAGAAAGAAACAAAGGTAGCCATGAAATCTACCATGGTAACTTCTGACCCACCTTAACATACCGTATATTTGAGAAAGAAGGTATCCCAGAGCCATCCTAGAAGTGACCAGCTGTTACTTTCTGTCCCTGGCTTATCTTTTCAAAGAGTTTATCATCTATAGCTGAGTAATAAAACTTTAAAAAGCAGCATGGTTGTACAGTGAATTTGTGGATAGTTCAAATTTTGACACAGAAAATGAGAAAAGAGGAAAACTATTCATAGACAAAAACAAACCTCTGATTGAGGAGAGGTAGGGGGGTGGCATGAGATTAAGTGAGGAGGGTAAGGGAACAAAAATTAACCTTATAGAAACCACAAACAAGGGGAACAGTACAATATTCTACATTCAGGAATGCCATGGCTACGTTGATATGTAAATCTGGCACTCAGAACAACAGAGTATTATTGCTGCTGATATGGTAATCTTGAGAGGTACTGAGAAAAAGTGGGTGGGTCATGTGAAATTCATGAAATGCTTGAGGTGAGCTCACTGCTGAAGTATTAGTCACGTCTTGCTTCGTGTGTGGTTTTTCTCCAATGTATTGTATAGATAAGTATTCCTCTGTACTTTCTGTTCCCGAAGAGTTTAGTTTCTTTTCATGAGGCTTTAAAATATTTCATCTCAAAAGTTTGTTTCTGTTCTAAAGGCATTTTGCAGAATGCCTCCCCTCCTTTGGCCTACTCAGACAAATATGCCTACATTTGCATACAGCACAGTACCTATTTACTCGGCATTGGCTAGAAAGTTCAGAGGCACGAGCCTAAAGGAACATTTTCAGACTGAGCACATAATTCAACCTCCAGCTTGTCAGCAGGAGCAAAATAAATAATTCCAAGAAGGACTGAAACAGTCTGTTGAGAAGGAAGGAAAAGGAGACACAATCAGCATAAAAATAAGGAAGAGAAAATGAAGCTGAAGGAACCAAAACCTCCCATGTTCAGAGTTTGCCTTACCTCTTCCCCTTCACCAATATACTAAAACCTCCTTAAACTCAACAACGTTTCTTAATATTGTCCTAACTACCATCCCCACTT